GATCTAGGGTTATACCTTGGATTTTCCTGTTTTGAATGTGAATCCCTTCCTGGTGGTCACATATAAGGTTCGTACCTGTTTTTATCGAACCTTTTTTCAGTTTCCGTCCGCCTTGAGCTTACTCTTTCATCTTTTTGAGACTGAGTAATGGTATCTTCTTCTATCCGCAGCTTTGTGTTGTATCTATTGTAAACATCATTCCAAGTTGTTTCAGGAAATTCTCGTAAGCTTTCTTTGAGTCTCCTTGTGGCTTCCGAGCCTTTTTCATTCAGATTACTGGCAAAAGCCATAGCCGCCCAGTTATTGGGTAGACGAGGCAACATCATCCTTTCATGCTGGAATCTATCTACGAATTCCCTGAGCAGCTCCATATCTCCTTGTTTTATGTTGAAGATGTCCTCCATTCTTTTTTCAACTTTTTGAGCTCCCGAGTGCGCTTTTATAAATGAATCTGCAAGCTCAGCAAAAGAATCAATAGAATTTTCAAGTAAAAGAGAATACTATGTCAGTGCCCCCTTTGTAAGTGTTTATCCGAATTTTTTGACCAATGCAGATTAAATTTCTTGCTTGGTCAAGTCGTTGCCTTTTATGCCAGTTGTAAATGCAGCTACGTGGTCCCGTGGGTCAGTTGTTCCATCGTACTTCGGGATATTGGGCATCTTAAATTTTTTTGGAATTGGCAAAGGAGTGGCACTTGGCTTCCAAGGTTGTTGAGAGTATTTCTCCATATTTATTCCCTTGATTATTGGCGGTACACCAGGTATCTGCTCTATGCGATCGCTCTGCTCCTTGAGTTGTTTCTGCAAAGTTAGTACTAAACTTTGTAAATAAGAATTAACTGGGTCACCTGACCCTCCATCACGAGATTCATTGGGAGTTCCTCCGCCGTCTGAGTTAACGAGTCCCGAGCGGGGTTTTTCTATGGTTGCGGTGTTGTTTGGAGGTGGAGTTGGTGGCACAGCTGGCAACCTGTTGACAAAAGCTTGAAAGGCATTGCTGACTTGTTTAGCGATTAATCGCTTTAACGATGCATCAGTAGCTTGATCGTCCTCATGCTGATCATTCATATTCGATTCAGATCTATCAGGAGTCCTATCTCGAGATTGTCGAGGAGAGTTTTACGGTGAGGGGGCCGGAGTTCCATCACCTTGTTGATTTTGCTGATTCAACTGATGTTGCTGATTTTCTTGGTTTCGTTGGTTGTTGTCGTTGGTGGTTGGCATGATTTTTTGGTAGAAGGATTGATTTGGAAAGTAAAAGATTATCATATTCTCGGTAACGGAACCAATTTGTTTAACCAGAAAATAGGAATTTCGATCAAAGCTTATTTTAGAAGTACTCGAGCTACTAATAATCAAATAAAAAAATATCTTTGCAATGAAATAAGAACAAAAAATGGTAAAGCAATCCGTTTAAAGCAAATTAAATAAGTATATACCAATAATAATCAGAACGTGTCTTTACAAGTGAAATTCCCTTCCTTATATAGGAATCTATAAGTACAACATTTCTTCCCTTTTATGACTAAATCATTACGTACATTAATGATATTAATGAGACGTTATAATTGGCAATCGTAAATATTCAGGAAGATTCTGTAATGTCTATGATCATTCATGCACATTAATTGACGATTCATGAATCTTCCTCCTTTTCTGTCTTGATTCATTATGCCGGTGTCTCTTCACACAGCAATTCATACTCGAGCGACCATACCCTTTTTATCTCGTGGGTGATTTACTCGTACCTATTACGACTCGCCTCTTTTAATGCATCTCTCCAGCTGTCGCTTTCTTAGTGATCCACGTGTCTTATCACATCAACCACATATATAAATTCATGTGTAATATTTATTTTTCCCAATACACCCCATCCTTTGGTTTAGCCAGTAACGGTGGGTTTGACAAGTATAATTTTATATTTTTGAGTGCTTGTTGACATTCATCAGTCAACTCAAATTGGTTTTGCTTTTTCAATGCTGAAAAGAACTTAAAACTTTTCTCCGAAGATTTAGAAATAAATCTTCCCAAAGCTGTTATCCTACCTGTCAGCCTCTGCACCACCTTTTTGCTCGTGAGTATGTCTGGTATTTCTTCAATCGCTTTGATCTGTGCAGGGTTTACTTCTGTACCTTGGTTAGAAACAAGGAAACCTAAAAACTTACCTAAGGACACGCCAAAGGCACATTTTTCGGGATTTAACTTCATATTGAATTTGCGGAGAATTTGAAAAGTATCTGACAGGTGTTGGAAATGATCCTCCGCCCGTGCTGACTTGACTAGCATGTCATCGATGTAGACTTTCATAGTTTTTCCCAGGTGTTCCTGAAACATTTTTGTTACCAACCTTTGGTATGTGGCTCCAGCATTCTTTAGTCCGAAAGGCATGACTTTATAATAGTAAGTTACCCTGCCTGTGATAAAGGAAGTTTTTTCCTCATATAAATGATCCATCTTTATCTGATTATATCCTGAATAGGCATCTAAAAAACTCAACAACTCATGTCCCATTCTTTTTTGGTACTACTACAGTATTAGCAAGCCAGTCAGGATATTTTACCTCTCGTATGGACCCAATTTTTAAAAGTTTTTGTACCTCATCCTGAATCACCTGATTTTTGAAGGATCCTTGCTTCCTTTTCTTCTGTTTGACAGGTGGATATGATGGATCTTCATTTAGTTTGTGGGTCATCACCTCCGGTGGTATACTTGTCGTATCTGAATGCGACCAAGCAAAGCAATCTGCGTTAACTTTTAAGGATTAAATTAACTTACCTTTCATTTCTATGCTCAGGTTCGTTCCGATGTAAACTTTTCTGTCTGGCCAATGTATAAACAACACCACTGCTTCGAGTTCTTCTATTGTTGTTTTGATGTTTTCATTATCTTCTGGCTCTTGAATGATATCAGGCCTTGAATCTACGTCCGTTGCCCACCTTCAGTTGAGGTTTGTGTTGCTAAATCCTCAACTGAATTATGTATTTGCTATTTTTTGTCTGCACCATCACTCGTTAGGCTTGAATCCACCACTGAATTGATACTTCTGGAAGCTTGCTGATCACCACGGATTTGTCTAATCCCCATTGTGAAGGGAACTTAATGATTTGATGTAAAGTAGATGGAACAACATCCATATCATGAATCCATGGTCTGCCAAGAATCATATTATACGCCATGTCCGTATCTATCACTTGAAATATCGTATCTCTCACAACTCCTTCTGCAAATGTGGTAAGCACTATTTCCCCTTTTGTAACAACGCTTGAATTGTCGAATCCAAATAAGGTACGTGCTTTGTGCACCATTTTGCCATCAGCTTGCATCTCGTGTACCACCCTCAGAAGAATGATATTTATGGAGCTACCTGGATCAATCAAAACTCATTTCACATTAGTATCATATACAAGTAAAGATATTACCAGTGCATCGTTGTGAGGGATCATCACGCCATCTGCATCTGCATCATCAAACGTTATACTGTCTTCTTCCAAAACTTGGCGAACTCGCTTTCCGTGGGTAACCGTGACTTTCGATGTCTTTTTTGCATCCGTATATGTCACACCGTTGACCTCCTCTCCTCTGCTGATCACATTAACTATCCTTTTTGGTGATGGAGGTTTTGGAGGCTCTTGTGTATTCTTCATATACGTTTGCTTACCCTTCTCACTGAACAAATTAGTTAAATAACCTTGTTTTAATAAATTCTCTATTTCACCTTGTACCAATCTGCATTCTGTTGTTTTATGACCGTGGTCATTATGAAATTCGCACCTAAAATCTAGATTTCTCCTGCTAGGGTTTGATCTCATTTATTTGGCCACCGCACCTTATCTCCCATACTTCTTAAAATAGCTACCAACTCAGAATTGCTAATATTGAAACTATAATCACCAATCTTTGCCTTTGTATTAACATTATTGTCCCGCGCATCTCGCTCTTTTTCGAACTTGGATGATGAACCCGCGTCTCTGTCTATTGATCTAGAACCATACTTTGAATTTTATTGTTAAGAGCATGAATCCCGCCCTACTGGTCCCATGTAAGGTTCGTACCTGTTCTTACTGGACCTTTTTTCAGTTTCTAGTCGCCTCGAACTTGTTCTTTCATCACCCCGTGACCGAGTGATAGTGTCTTCCTCTATCCGCAGCTTTGTACTATACCTGTTGTAAACATCATTCCAAGTTGTACCAGGAAATTATTGTAAGCTTTCCTTGAGTCTCCTCTTAGCTTCTAAGCTTTTTTCATTTAAGTTACTTGCAAACGCCATGCCCGCCCAATTATCAAGTACCCGTAGTAACATCATTCTTTCACGCTGAAATCTATCCACAAATTCCCTGAGTAGCTCCGTATCTCCTTGTTTTATTTTGAAGATTTCTTTCATTCTCTTCTCAACTTTTTGAGCTCCCGAATGTGCTTTTATAAATGAATCTGCAAGCTCAGCAAAAGAATCAATAGAATTTTCTGGTAAAAGAGAATACCATGTTAGTGCTCCTTTCGTGAGTGTCTCGCCAAATTTTTTGACCAGCACCGACTCAATTTCTTGCTTGGTTAAATCATTGCCTTTCACGCCAGTTGTAAACGCAGTTACATGATCTCGTGGGTCGGTTGTTCCATCATACTTCGGAATATCGTGCATTTTAAACTTCTTTGGAATTGGCAAGGAAGCTGTACTTGACTTCCATGGTTGTTGTGAATATTTGTCAATACCCACTCCTTTAATCACGGGTGGCACACTAGGTATTTGTTCTATGCGATCATTCTTCTCCTTGATTTGCTTCTGCAAAGTTAGTACTAAACTTTGTAAATCAGAATTATTTGGTGTACCTGACCTTCCATCGTGAGCTTCGTTGGGAGTTCCTCAGCTTCCCGAATTAACAAGTCCCGAGCGTGGGTTTTCTATAGTTGCAGTGTTATTTGGAGGTGGAGTTAGCGGCGCAGTTGGCAATCCACTGACAAAAGCTTGAAGAGCATTGTTGACGTGTTCCACAATAAGCTATTTTAATGTGTCCTCGGCAGTTTGCTCATCTCCTTGTTGATCATTCGTGTGTGATGTTGATCTTTGAGGTGTCCCCTCCCGGGACTATCGAGGAGAACTTTGAGGTGAAGGGATTGGAGTTCCTCCCTCCTGTTGATTCTATTGGTTTAGTTGGTTGTTGTCGTTGGCGGTCGACATGCTTGTTTGACAGAAAGTGAGTTTGGAAAGGGAAAAATATATCTTTCGGTCAAAGTCTAATTTTAGAAGAACACGGGTTACTGATAACCAAGTTTAGCTTCACTTTCTCACCGGTATCAATGGAAAATAATAAGAATAACTAAGGAATTAATTGATTGCAAAGTCAAAGCAGAGAATTTCGAGAAAGCAGAAAAGTAAAGTGTATATTTCAATATTGCCTCAGATGTCCTTACAAGTGAAATTCTCTCCTCTTATATAGAGGTTTACAAATATAACGTTTCCTTCCATTTATGGCTAAATCATTATGAGTTTTAATGGTATTAATGATCCGTCATAATTGGTAATCGTAACTGTTTACGAGGATTCTGTAACGATTCTAATTCCCCCTCCTCATCATTAATTGAAGGTTCATGAACCTTCCCTTTTTACTGTCTTGATTCATTCCGCCCCTGTGTCTTCATCGACTAATTTAGGCTTTGCTCGTACCTTTTGTAACTCGTTCATTTTTTATATTATAATATTCCAGATGTCTTCTTCTCATTATTCCACGTATCATGTCCTAATCTGCCAAATGTAATTCCACGTGTATTATTTATTTTCCACCAATACACTTTCACCTTTGACAATGGCATCATTATAAAAGAATTCGTGCATTATTTTATCCTAAAGCTGTTTAAATAATCGAATTACGACTGAACACTCTTAAAAGACCGTTGTAGATATATGTCAACAAAGATTATCATGCCCTATTAGATTAAGTATTAAATCGAAAGTGGTAATTAAAATAGACTTTTAATGGGAATTAGGTGAAGGCTCTTTTACTTTTGCTTGAAGTTCGAGAGAGCGTTTTGTTATTTTTTAAGTTCGACGGTTGTATTATAATTTATAATAATGTCGGACTTTATCCGTCCTGTCCTATATAGAGTTTAGCACGTACAAGAATATGTTATAAATATATTCCTTTTTCTTGGGCTTAAACACAAATATTATCTTGCTTTATTCCATAACTAAAATTGTACTTTTTCCTATCCATTTTAGTATTCGTGGTTATTAAAAATAACTGATCAGAATATTTATCATTTTAGAAAATCACGCTGTAAATGATTTTATTTTTCCCAATTTGTCCTTAGTGTCAATTGTTCTTGAAAGCAAAAAATATTAACTAATATAGCATAGAAAACCTAAATGAGAAGAATAAATAAAGGTATATTAGTCAAAAAATCTTTTTTGGTAATAGTTTCTTAAGGACGTATAAAAAAAAGTGACAATTATAATAGACTAGAGGGAGTACGACATGAATGAATAATGGGGGTAATAAGTTATTCTTAAGTTGACTCGTGGAAGCAAACTTCAATTCTCATAACTACCAAATCATTCTAGATTCCCCCCAATGAGAAAATAAATATTAAACATAATATCTATAGACAAAGCCATTATTAGAGATATTCAAAAGCTTGGTTCGATCTCACGTTGTTGTAATAAATAACTCTTAGATCAACGATCTTTAGTTTGAAACGAAGAAAGTATGGATGTAAATTAGAATACTTTAGTATAACTTAAACCGCCAAATAAAGCCCAAAAGAATATTTAGTTTTGTTCAATGTGTAGTTCCTATTAGGAATTTTTATCTCCTATAGCAAAGGTTAATACCTTATTTATTTTAAATAAATACCATTTAAAAAAAATTATATTCTATAGATACCTTTTAATGTTTATAGCAAAATATCTAATTTTGGTTACCTCATGCCCCTAAGCCACTAAATACGCTATTCAGTTACACTATTTTCTTTCTCTCTCTACTTTGATACATGCCATTCTCTTCCCCCATTCCCTGAAAACACGATGCTCAATCTCAAAATTCCTCTCACCCACATCACCTACGTTCTCTCCGATCCCAATTTCTCCAATTCCATCGGACGTTGCTTTGGCTCTTCTTTGCCATTGTAATTGGAACATGACTAAAGCTAACGAAGATTAGGGTTTGTTCTGCCACCATTGTCACCATTCTGACTAAAGCTAACGAAGATTGGCTCTTCTAACTAAAGCTAACGAAGATTGTTTTGTTCTGACTAAAGCTAACGAAGATTGGCTCTTCTTCACCTTATTCTGCCACCATTGTTCGACGGCGGATTCGCCGGAAATTAGGGTTTGTTCTTGAACAAAGACGACGGAGTTTGGGGCTGAGCAACTTGATTTTCTGTTAATATATTTCAATGTATTTTCAACGTATCACGCTGTATTTTCATGTATTCATTGTCTTTTTTTTCATTGTATTTCAATATATCCCGTCGTATTCTATGTATTCATTGTATTCACTGTCTCGCTATGTGCCATGAATTTATTCATATGTTTTTTTTATTAATATAATTTATGTTATCAGATGTATTATATAATTTCTCTGAAGCTTGCTATGTTTTTGGGGTATTTTTTGATTGAGAATCTTTTTTATAACTGGAAATACAAAATTTGTGTGTTATAATTGAGTTTGTTGAGTTATATTAGGAGTCTATTATGTTAATTGATTCACTTTCAGTTTAAAAACTGTGTAATTCCCTGTTTCACGCTGTGAATACAATCGAATACAGTCGAATACAATAATCTGTCCAGCTGTAATCCCATGTTTCACGTCATGAATACTGTCGAATACACTCGAATATAACAGCTGATTAGCTTGACTTCCCTGGTTCACGCATATTTTTGCTACTGTATTCATGAATTCAGTAGCTTAAATACATCTTATAACAACAGAAAATGTATCTACAATCCATAATATAGCAAATGGTATCTATAGATAGCTAATTACCACTAAAAGATAGTGCTATATGAAAATTTCTCTTTATATTACAGGGCTAACAAAAGATTTCTGAATCAAGCACCATTGGTACTATCTTGCTGCAAGGGTAATGAATATTTGTGATTTATAGCCTATTTGGCCAAAAGTACTTCTTCCACGAAGTTAAGGTGTTTGGCTAAACTTTTAGAAGGAAAAATGTATTTTTGAGTAAAATCAAAAGCAATTTTTGAGACGTAGAAAAAAGTATTATGTCCGTTTCAATTTAGATGATGTAATTTGACTTGGCACAAAGTTTAAGGAAAGAAAAAGACTGTTGAAACATGTGGTCCTAAAAACTTAAGGGGCAAAAGCTTTGCGGGGTCATAACATTTGTGTGCTGTAAAAGCTTCTCATTAAGGGTAAAATGGGTAAAATTAAAAGTCTAAAGTTAAATTATTTCCAAATATAGAAATATTTCATTCTTTGTTGAACGGACTAATAAGGTAAGTGTGCCATTTAAATTGAAATAGAGGGAGTAATTATTTTTTTCAAAAAGTACTTTTGAAAAAAATACACTTAGAAGCATTTTTTAAAAACTTGGTTGTTGTTCAAAAATATTTTGAAATTAATTAACCAAATACAAACGATTTCAAACTAAATTGATTTTAAAAGTTTGACCAAACAGACTATATTAACCTACTTTCCCTTTAATATATATGTGTGATAAAATACAGCTAAAGAGTTTTACCAGTAAGTAAACATCACCGAATTGCATTTGCAATTGGGAAAAGGGCCTGATATATCCCTCTACTTTAAAAAATAGTATTATATTGTCCCCCATTATACTATCAGCACATTTAAGTCCCTGCCGTTAGAAAAGTAGCCACATTTACCCCTATTTTTAACGGAATTCCACACCAGCAATTAAAATTCCACCTGGAATGCCACGGTGGAAATTAATAGTTTTATCAATCATTTCTCAAATTGCTCTGACCCTAATAGGGAATCTACGGTTGTCGTAAATGGTTACAACCGCAGACCATCGTATCTCCGACATCTTCCTTGCTGTGCGCTTCTGGAGAACTCCAAACTGGCTCATCTTCTCCACTCGTCTTCCTCTACACAGATTTGAAACCCAAATCCCCCAATCTGAAACATTTGGCTGCTGCGTTACCCACACCCCCTCTCCCAAAAGCATGTTATTTTTTAGATATTTCCTTTGTACACTCTGCTTCTGTTAATTTTAGCAATTCCTATTGTTTCCTGCATTATTACCTTTAAATTTACAAAGATCTGCAAGGCTGTAACTCCAACTAGCAAATTCTTATTTGGGATTGAGTTGATTCTTTACTTTTTGCAGTTTAAGAAAGAAAACATATCAAGAATAAAAAAATAGAACTGGGTCAATTGCAGAGGAGCTTTGTTGGATATATGGTCTCTTTGTTTCGTGAGCTATACCAGAAAAAGGAGGAATCTTTATATGGATTTTGCACTTTTTTTTCTTGTTTCTGTTGCCTTTTTTCTTTGATTGAATGTTGTTTTGATTCAAAAGGAATTATTGGTAGGAGAAATCTCACTTTATGTAAAGAGAGGAGTGAGTTAAAAGAAGGGTAAGAAAATCAACGATGACAAAAAGAATTTCTTTTACTGACAACCTAATCGTCGTTTTGCTCTCAAAAGAACTAAGAAAATGATCCTCTTTCTAATTTAATTCGGGTTACGGGTTATTAAGGAGTTTGAGTCGGTTACTTCCACCGTGGCATTCCAGGTGGAATTTTAATTGCTGGTGTGGAATTCCGTTAAAAATAGGGGTAAATGTGGCTACTTTTCTAACGGCAGGGACTTAAATGTGCTGATAGTATAACAGGGGACAATATAATACTATTTTTCAAAGTAGAGGGATAAATCAGATCATTTTCCCTTTGCAATTTGACTCAAAAGAAGAAACTGCATATGCACTTGTTTTTGACAACAGGCTGCATTTTTAAACCCAACATATACTCATTTCTCCAATTTCTTTATCTCCAACTTCTTCTTTTTCCTTCTTGATTTTGTTTTATTATTGAAGGAGTCAACTTAGAAATAGCTAAGCTTCAATGGTCAGAAAAAGAAGCAGAAATAAACTACATAATGGGCCCTCCTTTTAGGTTCGCAAAGTCTGCTTTGATGGGAAAGAGTTAGGTTTCCAATATTCGACAAACAAGAAAATGAGGTCTTTTTGGAATAATATAGGTCTATTGAGATTTTTTCCCTGTTTGAAATATTATATACCGAGAACTGGAATTAGGTTAGCCTAAATATGTGATACAGTCTAAAAAAAACATATAACATGACCTTTTTAACCCCAATTTAACTTTATTTTTTCGTTTCGTTTTCTATTTTCCATTTTCCATATTTCCTTTTTGGGTTATAAGCTTCATCACTACATAGGCGGAGCTAGAGTGATGAGCATGAGTTTGGGCAATTCGTGTAACTTTTATCTTGGACGAATATCTGTATTAAAAAAGTTTAATTAAATATATATAAATATTTAATTGCAAACCTAATACTTAACTTACTCATAAATTTTAATCATGGCTCTGTGTTTGTTCATCAGTTGCTTCTCGACAAATTTAATATTGTCGATGTTATTATTGTTGCGATCATCTAATTGTTAGGTCAAAATAGGTCAGTCGAACTCACTTTTGACCTAGCTTAGTAAAAAATCTAGGATTTACTCTTAATATCCTGTAGTAATCTATGTTTTCAGATAATAAAAAAAGAAAAGAAAATGAAACAGTACTCTTTGTAGAGCCTAATTAACAGAGAACAGAAGGTAAGCTGTCAATTTTAGAAGATTTGATTAGAAGGTGGATCAGAAATTGGAGCATGTGGCCAAAGTGTCTTGATAACAGATTTTAGTTTTTGTTTCAAGCAAAAATAAAGCAGTAGAGTTGAGATAAGTAGATAATCAATATAAAACAAATTATATTATGATGAATTCTCCCAATATAAAATACATTGAGATGTGCTCACCTAAGCACAAGTTATGCTTAAAACAGAGCGACATTAACATTGAGAATTCATGTTAACGATCTTAACTTGCTTGTGAATGAATTGTTGTTATTGTTATTATTGTAGTATATTTACTAGCTTAAATAATCTAATAGTTCTCCACATATATCTGATAGTTAACATCAGATGGTGATATTAACTTCTTTAAAATATATTCTGTTTAAATTTCTTTTGTAACAAGAATTCCAGCATCATGTGGCATGGAACGACATGTTTGACAAAGTTGTCAGGTTGTCTAAGATGTTCACCAGATTTTAAAGAAGGTTACTGGTTCAAGTTATGAAAATACTCTCTCATAAAAATAAAAGGTTACGTTCTAGTGTAATCAGGTGCCATTTTATAAAATTCGTGATGACTTGAGAGTGTTATAAAATAATTTATCAAAAATATATCATGTGATATAAATTAACGAATAAATCAGAGTAATATGTAGTAAGCGAATAGACAAATAATGATGTTGAGAGACATTCTAATTAATCTCGACACAGACGTAAAAAACATGATTACAAGAGCGTAGAACCATGACTACTTTCACATGCAAAAAGGATATTATGGGGACATTAGTGATAATTAATTTATTGCTTTGAAAAACATTGGTAATCATCATATCATTAGTAAAGGAATATAATAACCTACGGTACTTATTAGCTGAAGATAGAGATGTTGGAGGTAAATATGAGTAAAGGTACTCCACCTTTTGATATAATGAAATCATGGATGCTTAGCTTTGATGTAATCTTTATAAGCCCACCTGCGGACGAGGTAACACAGTGAAAAGTGAAAACCATAATTCAGTTTTTTGCACATGTATGGGTTTTTTCAATTATCATGGATATTGGTTAAATCAATTGTCAAATTATAGTGACAGCACGTGAGATTATAGGTATTTCGGGAATTAAAATTTTCTCACTACTAGAAATTCGGCAAAAACGATCATGTTAGACCGACCAATTTTGGTCGGACTTTGGTCGATTCAAAATATTTTATTTTTTAATTTTTTTTATGAAACCGACCAACTTTGGTCGGTTTTTTTGGCGCAAAAATGCTGGAAACTATTTTTGAGTCCCGCAAATTTAATTTTCAAGAAATCGACCAACTTTGGTCGGTTTTTCATTTATAAATTAAAATTAATATAAAAAAACCAACCGGTTTATCGAAATCGGTCGATTAATTCGGCCGGCTCATTTTAAAAAACCGACCAATTTTGGTTGGTAATTTTATTTTTAATAAAATCGACCAACTTTGATCGATTATTTTCGTGCTAACATACCATTAAAGAGTATAAATAAAATAAAAGACAGTCTTAAAATAAAATGCACCAATGGTCTAGTGGTAGAATAATATCCTGCTACAGTACAGACCCTGGTTCGATTCCCAGATGGTGCATTTTTTAATTGCATAATTAAAATACCGACCAACTTTGGTCAGTTTTTTCGGCAATGAATTTAATTACCGACCAAAGTTGGTCGGTAATTTCCGACCAACTTTGGTTGATATGCCCTTCCGACCTTTAAAATACCATCCACACATAAATGACCGCGTTTTGAACGGTTATTGGCTATTACCGACCAACTTTGATCGGGTATTTTGGACAGTTTTGCCCGAATTTCTAGTAGTGTCTCAATTGAATTTATTAAACCTGTAAAAACGAATCATTAACTACATCTTTATATTTTTATACACGATTCATTTATAATACGGCAAAGGCTAAATATACCCATGTGCTATGAGAAAATATTTAAATATACCCTTCGTTATACTTCGGTTACAAATATACTCCTGCCGTAATACTATTGGTTCAAATATACCCTTCTTCTGTTACATTTTGTCCAAAGTAGACATCCAATCCTACGTGGCACTGTCATTTGATGAAGTGGATGCCACATGGCATGCCACCTCAGTGCCCCAAATCTATATATAAAAGATAAATTTGAAATCAACATTGTTTATGGTAGCGGTAATGGTGGCAACAGTGGTGGAGGGTAAAAAAATTTTAGTGGTGGAAAAAAAATAGAAGGGAAGGGGGAGGGGGTAAAATGGGTTAGGGTTGCTGAGGTGACAAACTATGTTGCACCCACCTCATCAAAAGTCATTGCCACGTAGGATTTGATATCCACATTGGACAAATTTAATAGAAGAGGGATATATTTGAGCCAATAGTATTAGGAGAGAGGTATATTTGGACCCAAGGTATAACGAAGGGTATATTTAAACCTATTCTCATAGAAAATGAAAATATTTGGCCCTTTTCCATTTATAATAACTGATAATGCAAAATTAGGAGTATCAAATTGGCGGGGTTGGACTGATTTTAGGTGGGTCAAAATAGGATGAGTCATTAAATAAACGGGTCATTTTGGGATTTTTTCCTAACTATACCATATATGAAACCTTATTACCAAAAATGTGCATAGTTTGTATATTACCCGCCCAGTCCACACTTTTACTATAATTTATATACCAATTGTTAATTAGGCAGAATCTGCCATTTATAGCGCGCGAAAAATCAGCCACAGAATCTGGGATTGATTTATTCAAAATTAAATTCGAAATTTGAAACGTAAAGGAGATCTGGAAGCTGCGTAATTCTCTCTGAAACTACAATTCAAAAAAGTACGCAGAGCTTCAAAAGCTTCAACAAACAGGATACAAATTGTAGAATTCAAAACTGTTCTTCATCGTTCTCAGTAATCAAATTGTCAATCGTATATCTGTTCTTGATCTTTTTTCTCTCAACCACACGAAATCATGTCAAAAATCCCAATCATGCTACAATTGAATGGGAATTGGGATAACTATGACAGATTTAGAGATTTTGAAGTTGATGCCATTGTGGTAGATGAGAATGCAAGCTACAGAATTCTGATTTCTACAATTGCAGAACAACTATCGATTGATACATCAGAAAAAATTGTAGAAATCAAATACATGGTGAATGACAATTGTCCTCCAATGGAGATTAGGAATGATATGGGGGTTCGTGTGTATATGGAGACCAAAAAGGAGAATAAAAACTTAGGTTCGTATCCTTTATGTATAAGTGTAAGAGATTTCAATATGGAATTGGCAATCACCAACGATAGCACAAGTGCAGGTTTGTATAATTCTACATTGCATAGAGTTATGGTTTTGGTGTGTCATCTACAATATTACTACATTTACCTACAATTAAACTACAAAAACAATGTACTGAAGAGGATAAAGCAATGTTGTTTTCAAAATTATCTACATAGTTACTACATTTATCTATATGTTGATGCAGGTTCGTCTGGATCCCTAAATTTACTTGATATTCTATCCTCTCCAGCTATAGAGGAATATCAAAGTGAAATAATAACAGAATCTACGCAAACATATATTGAATAAGGACAAGTGTATCAGGACAAGCAAACTATAGCTGCTGCAATGAAGAACTTTTCTGTGATGCACAAGTTCCAGTTCAGAGTAAAAAGATCTAGTCATAGAAGGTATGGAGTTATTTGTGGAGAAAAGATCATTAAAAGCAGTATTTAGTGAATATATGTGGTTTTTACAAAATGTAGTTAATTGTAGTGCAATTGTAGTTTATAACGATTTATGTTAAAACAGTCCTTTTGTTGCATCTACATTTATAGTATGTATTAAATATTGTATTTTTTTTGTAGCTACTGGCTTGTATGCGTTGCTGAAAACTGTAAATGGCACTTCAAGGCAACGTCAATTAATGATTCCGCAATGTTCAAGATAAGGAGTTTCATCCGACAACACACATGCTCCTTAATGGACGAAGCATTCATACAGCGCAAACGTACTGCAGCTGTAGTTGGTAGCATGGTCGTTCCAAAGTATTGTGATCCTAAAACTGTTTACACACCAAAGGACATACAAACTGACATGTTATCCGAACATGGACTGAACCTAAGCTACATGCAAGCATGGAGAGCAAAGGAAAAGGCTTTACAGTTTTTGAGAGGGAATCCGGCTGACTCCTACAGCAAATTACCCAAATATTTTTATATTCTCGAGGAGACTTATCCTGGTTCTGTTGTTAAATTGAAGAAGGCAGCAGATGACTGCTTCTTATACGCATTTGTTGCTCTTTGTACATCAATAAGTGGTTGGCAGCATTGTAGGCCAGTAGTAGTGGTTGATGGGACATTCTTAAAGTCAGCCTACAGGGGGATTATGCTGACAGCAAGCACCACGGATGCAGCAGGTAAAAAGTGTAAAAATTTTGTAGTATTTTGTAGGCAGTCTATAAAATGTAGTTAAATTGTAGTAATTTTGTAGTTATTTTGTAGTTATTACATGAAATGTAGATAAATTGTCTATATTCTGAATATATATTGTAGTTGTTATTTAATTATATTTTTATATACATTTTCAAAGCTGCCAATTAATATTTTATGAATTAATAATGTAGGTATAATATTGCCCTTGGCATATGCTGTGGTTGATTCTGAAAACGACGCATCTTGGAAGTGGTTCTTTGAGCAATTCAAGCAGGCATATGGTGAAAGACCTTCAATGTGTGTTGTTTCAGATAGGAATGAGAGTATACTGAAGACAACATCAATTGTCTATTCGGGCATGCCACACTACTCTTGCATGTGGCATATTTGGACAAATATAAGGTCCAAATTCAAGAAGGGACATCTACAATTACATGAATTGTACTTTGCTACAACACGGTCATACACTCTGGATGAATTTAATGAAAGGATGTCGAAGATTGAAGAGGTAGACCCGCGTGTGAAATCTTACCTATATGATATTGGCTATCATAGATGGTCAAGCGTTCATGCAACGGTGAATAGAACTTTTACTATGACATCAAACATTGCCGAGTCGTTGAATGCTGTAACAAAAGAGGCAAGAGAGCTGCCAATATTTGACCTATTAGAGTATATGAGGACACTTCTTGAACGTTGGACGAAAGAGAAGTTATTGAAGGCAAAGGGTACTTTCACATACCTTGGGTACAAATACAACAAAGAATTGGATGACAACAGAACATTATCTTACAAGCTTATGGTAAGATCTGTCTATTTGGTGCAGAAAAAATAAATTACTTAATATACAGTGTTTCCAGATTGTAGATAAATTGTAGTCAAATTATAGATAATTGTAGGTTGTAGATAAGGTGTACAATATTTGTAGCTGATTTGTGGATAAGTTGTAGATAATCAATTTTTATGATTCATATAATATTTTTTCTGTCTGTTCTGCAATTGTAGGTGAGGGCTTCAACAGATCATATACATACTGTGTTAGATGGTGTGAAGCGGTATATTGTGTGTCTAGAAAACAAGAAATGTAGCTGTGGACAATTCCAACTTGAAGAACTTCCATGTGCACATGCGTTGGCAGCATTAAGGCACAAGAATGAAACATATGAAAACTATTGCTCTCCGTATTACACAAGGAAGAGCCTTCTGCGTACGTATGAAATACCAGTAAATCCTCTTCCTGATGAAAGCAAATGGAATGTGCCACAACATATTCTGGATGAGGTAGTAAAGCCATCGGCGGGAGATAAAAGGCAGCCAGGGAGACCTCAAAAGGAAAGATATAAAACATATGATGAAATAAAGTCAAAGAAGTACAAGATTTCATGTGGAAATTGTGGAGGTGAAGGGCATAACAAAAGAACTTGCAAGAATGCGCCCAAAAAGAAATGAATATCATATAGCTAGAATACTAATTCAAAATAAATGTTAGTGAGTTCAAGTTAGCAGATTTTTTGTGTAATCGTTTAAGTTTTTGAAGATCATTATGAAGTATACTACAATTTGTGTATTTGCATTTGATATGATTTTATGTATTCTGTCAGGCATCTAAATTTGTCTTTTATATAGTTTAGTTAAACTTTAATATTTATTATCTAAAAAACAACTGATATTAATAAAGTAACCTTAATGTAAAGTGACTCCAGATTGTAGGTAAAATGTAGGTTAAATGCAGTTAAATTGTACTCATGGTAATAATTTGTAGATGATTTGTCGATAAATTGTGGATAATTTATTTCTATGATTTGAGTATTTATTTCATCTGTTTGCTGTGTAATTTTATTTCAAGTGACAGTTATATACAGATATTACCTAGTACTTGAAGGTATTTCATAAAAATTATGTGAAGATTAATTGTAGGCAAATTGTATTCTAACAAAACAGAGGTATTCAAGTTTAATATATTGAAGATACAGTGCTGTAAACAACCAAAATGGCATATTTTCTACAGTGCATTCTCCTTCAACTACAAAATGGCATCAACTAAACTAGGAACACAAGACTTTATTTCTTCTTTCTCTGTACTCTAGTCTTCTCATTTTTAGCAGGAGCACCCTTCCTCCTTGCTAGTCGGCCTGTTACCTCACTTTCACTGATTGACCCATCTTGTTGCTTCTTTGTAGCATAGTCCCATAGGAGAGCTCCATAGCGTCTACGGTGTTGGTCGATATCAGAAAGGTCTTCTGAAGGGATTGACAAATCTCCAAGGCTAACATACTCCGCAAAAGCAGCCACAAATACACCACAATCGCTGCATAAAATAAAAAAAATTTAATTATTTAACAAATGATTATAAAAAAAATAATTAAACATCTAGAAAGAGAGAATAGTTTTTTTTACAGTGATCCTTCCTTTTGTTGTGGAATCTCCGCAACCATCCACTGTATGGTGAGAGGGTCTGTAACTGGTTTCTCAATGTATGCCTTTGTGGTCTTGAAGTCAATATCTTTACGTTTTCCGTAGAAACCAGTGCAAGACAAATACAGAGGGATAATGATTGAAAACTTATCAACTAATCATTCAACAACATTATAATGGTGTGAAGACACCGTGGAATCATACACATAAAGTTGCCTGTCCGCTATGTCGAAAACGAGCAACAACCAATGGAAATTCTCTACAACGTTCACAGGCATGATGACATAGTCAACTAGATCCCAGGCAACATTAGCAAGAAGTCTATACCCAAGAATATATTCTGCAACATCATCATCGGGTTTAACAACCGAATACTTTTGTTCTGGCGGAGAACTTATGAACTTGTCATAGATTTGTTCAATTTTGGTCTTGAACAAGCAATCGGTTGTTGTGAACCTAGTGTTGTTGTTGGGGCCATATTTGCCTTTTTTTCTCAGGTAATACATAATAACATCAATGTGCTGCAAAATAAAATAAAATCTACTATAAGCTACAATGTAACCACAATTATCTACAGAACAGATACACTTTAAACTACAATTGCAGCATTCATAATAATATAACAGATTGCTACACTTTAGCTACTATACAGAGCAACAAATGCAACACAGCAACTAACATAAGGTCTCAATAATATCCATATTCAAACTACAGTTAATATTTAACTATAATTTAACTACAATGATGATATACAGAGATTCCAATTCTGTCCAAAGTACCAAAAATACAATTTGTACATACAAATCATCGTCAATTTGTACATAAAAATAATTAATGTTTACCTTCACCAAATTCTTTTTCTCAACCAATTTTGGGAGTTTTTTGGAAGGTTTCTTCTTTTTTTGTTTTGATGAAGCAGGAGACACCTTGGGTTTTTTAACAGGGACATCTTCAACAAAATCGTCATCTTCACACAACTCTTTCCCCTTTCGTTTGAGTTGTTTGCCGACGGGTTTAGCACCTCCTCCAGCATCTACATCGTGCAATAGCTTTGTTCTCATCTCGGTACGGATTGTTCTTGGAGATGGAATGTTAGTAGTAGGTTCCATTGCATGTGTAGAATTTGTTTTTTTTTGGGTGATTTTGGTGTTAAAACACCCAAATCAAAAGAGGGGATATCAACTAATGTAGATTTTGTAGATTTATTTTTGGGAGTGTTGATGTTTTTCATTGTTTATCTTCAACTTGAATCAGATGGAACTTCAATTTGGGAGAATGATAACTTTGGGATTTTGTGAAATTAAATGGCGAAAAATATAGAACGTGGGTTCTGTAGAGAACAAAACAGACAGTAAACGTGGGGTAGTAAAGGTAAAACGTGGGGGTGTGTGGGGGGGGGGGTTGGGGGGAGGGGGGGTTGGGGGGAGAGAGACGGGTAAAGGTAAACGTGGGAAGATACGGTCCTAAATTAGCGCCTAATATAAATGAACCCTTAATTATATCCCTAATTTGAATTATGGTATATAAATGGTAATTTGGTATACTGAAGTGTAATTAATACAAACCTTAAATATTGAGGGTAATAAGGTTTCATATATGGTATAGGAAGGTAAAAATCCCTATAGACAAATCGTCGGGTTGGGCTAATTTTGGGCGGGTCAAAATAGGTTGAGTCAATTAATGGACGGGTTAGTAACTTGGGCTAAGATGAGACGGGTCAAGATGGGCTAAAATTTGGATCATAGCCCAACCCCGCCCAACTCTTATAAATTGTATTATTTTCTTATAAATTGTTTAATTATCAAATAAGACTTTTTTCTTTTGTTATGGTCATATATATGATATCGAAAAAAATTATTTTTAATATATTTTAGCAAAGTTACTCATTGATCAATTTGGCCTAAAAATTTGACCCAACTTTGGACATCCACCTCATCAAATGTCAGTGCCACATAGGCATGGATGTCTACTTTGGACAAACTTAATGGAAAATAGGTATATTTGAAGTAATAGTATAACAACAGAGATATATATGTACTCAAAGTATAATAATGGATTCATTTAAATTTTTTGTAATAGTATATGAGTATATTTAGCCCTTTTCCCTAAAATCAAGTGTCAAATTATAGAGACAGCACGTGAGATTATAAGTATTTCAGAAATTAAAATTTACTCTATTGAACTTATTGACCTGTAGAAAATAACTGACATCAATAACTACGGCGACAACAAAAGTTATTACTAAGCTGAGGTTATTGGTTGTAGGCTTGAAACATTAAATGGATTTGGTATAAAATTTATATGTAACCATTAAATTCAGGAGTGCTACTACCAATAAAGTATTATAGTCTTCATATATACGGTTAAAATCAGGTATGCTTGATTTTCCGGGCTTGAAGGGTTGCTTTAAGTCCGAGTCCAGGACGAATCGAGATCGAGCTCGATAGACCAGACTCGAGCTCGATGATAGAGTACAACGCCCGAGGATCGAAGTTCGCGATGGGTATCGAAGCCAAGTATGTTTAACCCCAAGATAATGTCGCTATGGGTTTGTAAGAGAATGAGCTAGATTCCACGTCCCCAAGATCGTAGCGTAAATCCCGGAATAGATTTGTACGAATCCGTACTAGGCGATTAGACAGCTGTCCCAATAAGATTCTTTATTGTAAATAGAAATGTACCTTATTTAGGGTTCCCCTATTATATAAAGGGGACCCAAATCATTTGTAAACATCATCTAATCATTGGCAAAGAATATACTCTCTTACTTTTTCGCTCATTGTTCATTAGAATTGTCCTTTAGATTTATTATTCTTGCTTTATTGTTCTTGATCCATGTCGAGGTCACTTTGGCTCGAGGTCGAGACTGATCTACATTCTGGTTTGATTTTACTTGTTCCTTTCATTTATACTTCAGATTTCTTGGTTATTAATTGGTATTGAACTAAATCACGTATCTTTAAAACCATAAATCAAATTTAATTATTACTCGTATTTTCGAGGTAAATAGTTTGGCGCCCACCGTGGGAATAAAGATAATAGTGATTACTTCATTACTGATTCTCATAACAAACGTTATATTTAAGCTTTTTCTTGTCAAGAATTTTTTATTCTCAAGCTAAAACATGTCAAACTCGCAAAACGCACCTGTACACGACAACGATGGTCTAGGATTTCATGGAAAAAATAACAATATAGGGGTCGGTGTACCGCCAATAAACCCTGGGGAAGTGCCAAATATGGAACCAGTTAATGTTAGTTCACACATTGCTCTGAACCAAGATTTAGGCACATACCACGGAGGGAGTATATGCAGGGAAGCCCGATCTGGTGGCCAAGGAACGCAGGGCGTAGGAGATGGGGGAGTCAGCCTCCAAGTGATATTCGAGATGCTACAAGCTCAACAGATTGTCATCGGTCAACTTCAAATCAGAATACTCCGAGTATAGCCGAACTAGAAAACACTCAAAGTGCCGAACCGGCGCCAGAGAGATCAAACGGTAGTGGCTCGGGGACTGACCCTACAATTATGAGGATGCTCGAAGAACTCACCAAGAGGATCGAGTCCGGGGAAAAGAAGATTGAGGATAATGACAAAAAGGTGGAGACTTATAACTCCCGTGTTGATCAAATACCGGGGGCACCTCCGGTCTTGAAAGGTTTGGATTCCAAAAAGTTCATACAAAAGCCGTTCCCTCCGAGTGCGGCTCCGAAGCCTATTCCTAAAAGTTTCACATGCCCGATATACCCAAGTACAACGGGACAACCGACCCTAACGAGCACATCACTTCATATACTTGCGGGATTAAAGGAAAGATTTAAATGATGATGAGATCGAATCAGTATTGTTGAAGAAATTTGGGGAAACTTTATCAAAGGGAGCCATGATTTGGTATCGCAACTTGCCCCCGAACTCTATCGATTCATTTGCTATATTGGCAGACGCCTTCGTGAAAGCACATGCCGGGGCCATAAAGGTGGCAACGAGGAAATCAGACGTTTTTATGATAAGACAGAGGAACAATGAGATGTTA